CTGGGTGATCACTTGTGCCGGCATCATTGAAGGAGAAGCTCCTTTCATATCTTGGCGAATATTCCTTTGAGTTATCTAGCGGGTCTAGTCTCCGAGTCAATAATATTTTACCAGGGATGCTACGACCTTTCAGCAAGCTTGAAATAAAATATAAAATTGCCATCAATTATATTTTGAGTTGTTTGCTTTCCATTGTGGGTGAAACCGAACATGAATTCAGAGGGACAGAGAAAATTGTTCAATGATTCAAAGAAAAAGAAAAATAGTTCAATCAATCAAAGGGAAACGAAATAAAGCATGTAATCCCAATTATGCAGTCCCATAGCGTCTACAGAGAGTGGTCATGAAGGATAATTACGTTTGTCATCAATAAAACTTCGTAAAGAATGTAATCCCCTTAAAGACTCTTAGAAAACATAAGCGACAAACTTGATATAACATCTTCAGTTCTAACTGCAATCAGATCGGCGGAAATACAAAAGTGCTGATAATAAAGGATTAAAACTTTAGTCCATAATCATTGTGCTAGAACATTAATAAAGGCAGCGGACCCATATCGGTTTGAACAGAATCATAGATCAAGCTTATTACACCGATTTTGGCATTGAAGTCAGTCAGGTCCGCATAAATCAAGCAACATAACCGTGTAAAATTTCATCGATCAGAAATATTGACTTCAACGCTTAAAAACTAATGAATTAGCTTCTCTAAGGGAAAAAAAAAAAAGCAGACGAGGAAAGGTTTTCCGGCAGCTGCATGATCAGATCAGTCATCGGAATTATAGGGATGATGAAGTTTCCTCGTAATGCCTTTAGCATATAAGAAGCAGATGATTAGAGGCAGGAAATGGAGGATCTGGGAGCGTGAAATCAGTACCCTTGAACATTCCTGAGGGTCTGATTGAATCTGGAGTCTTGGCTTGTGACGGTACTCCCCGCGTTGCTGTGATCTTCTTCCCGCCTGTTGTGGATGCGGTCATCGTTATTCATGGTTGCTACGCCAGCACTACCAGCGTTGTTTGATACTATTTCCAGGGCCACTAGCGAGAGATGCTCGCAAGGAAGGACATGGACTCACCAAAAGTTCTTTCCCTTCCTCAACCCGCTAATTATTTCGATCCTAGTTTTAAGAGTTTGTTTATATTCTACAAATTATTTTATTACTTCATCCTATTTCTTGTGTGGTATGTCTTACAAATTCTTTTTCTGGCGCCAACCTCTCAAGCAATCTTTTTCTAGTCAACCCTTTTTTTTTTTTTTTACCGGATTGCGTTAGCGGGAATGATAATTAATTCAACTATTTTTTAGGAAATATGATGAGTAAATTAATGTGTTGTTGAACAAATAAAGATTTGATAACTTTAAGAAAAATATTAAAATATAAAAAAATATTTAAGGTATTATTGAAAAAAATTACATTACGAGTGTAAATACTAAAAAAAAGCACTTGATTAAATATATTTAATGTGATTTTTGATTTGAATATATATGCTATTAAATTTTTTTACAGATTTTTGTAACTTCATTGAAAATTAATGATATGAGAATGATTGGGCTTAGTATGAACTCTCGTTATTAAATTTTATTAGTTAGTTTACAGATTCTTAAGTGCACTCTTACAAGTACCATGTTATCGCTTAGCTCCGGGATTTACTAGTTTTCCCTCTACCCCTTCTGTTGTTTCGGATAGTGTTCTCGCAGATGCCATGTATTGCACCTAAGGCTGCTGGTCTGCCTTTATTTCAGCCCCAAAAAAAAAAAATTTCATGTTATTAGGCAGTTTAGAGTGATTTTATCATTTTCAATCTCTTTCTGCCTCCTTTCGCATCATTTTCGTTTCTCTCTCATCAACCCCGGCGTAACTCTTTTTAAAGCCATTTTAACAGGTATTTGGACTAGCTTTTAAAAAGTGATTATACAAAAAAAAATTTATCTCGATTTATATGAAAGTATTTTTTTAAGTGTTTTTAAAAATTGCCAAACTCCTCCTCTTGAGTTGAATTTGGAAGTGAATTATTGAAAATGCTACGCCGAACTTAAATGAAGGGCTAAAAGTCAAGGAAAAAAAAAAACAATTATTTCTCGCACCTTGCAGTGATATCAAACATCCTTTGCAGTGCATGTGAGGGATTTGGAGGGGAGACGAGGGGCCTCCCATTATTTGGATTGAACAAATTTTGTAGGATGAAAACAAAAATTCTCTAAAATTTTCCCTCCTCTCCCCTTGAGGATTGGAGGGATTTAGAGAGAAAAGGTACTACTATTCCGGTTCTTAATATAAAACTTCTTTAACTAATTTGATTAGATTAAAAAAATTAAGTAAGTTAGTTAATTATGAGAAATATGACATTTTTTCCTAAAACACCATAATCATCTTTCTTAATATCCTTCCTTCCTTATATACTTGATCATGATTGAGGGAGTATCCATAGGAATAATTTAAAAAAATTGATAAATATGATAAATAGGTTTTATATTTAGAACTAAAATTAACTGAATAATTAGATCTTATATTAAAAATCGGAGAGTGTTTTGGATTGTTGTAACTAATACATTCATATTAGTGTTTAACATTCCTGCAGGTCTTGTTTCGGGAAAAAAAATGCAGAAAAGCCATAGTAAATCCCACATGAAATTTTGCACTCTAGATTTGTACTGTGGGGTGAAATTTTGTGGGGCAAGAATATTGATTTTCCAAGTCGAAGCTTAATACATTGATCTAGCCTCTGATGAAATCTGCTCTTTCTTATGTAACCGAATCTGCACCGTCGATAGTAACATGAATTCTAATTTTCTTGGCTCCTAGTTATTAATTTTGGAGATACATATATATAAGTATTATAATTATTATAATTTTTCTGCCAACGTAATTATTGTGTATATATAGTAACTATTGATTACATATTATAGTTATATTTATTCAATTTTAATAGTTATGACATTATAATTTTCTATACATATAATTTATAACTATATTTTAGTAAATATTTTATAAAACTTAAAACAAGTTCAAAATAAGAATAAGGATGAATTTGTCCATATCAAAATATTTTCCCTCCCATTCTCGAGTGAATCAAATAAAATAATATTAAAATATTTTTCATTTCTTTTTTATCATGAAACCAAACAAGGTAATATTAAAATCTCTTCCCTCTTCTCCATTAAAATTCCTCCATCTCCCCCTTTTTGTTTGAGCCAAACACACCTTAAACTCATTTTAGCCCAATCGGTTAACCCACCTTATCTTAACTTCTAATACACAAAAAGGAATTTCTCATAATTTTCATATAAGAACATTTAGAATGTGTTTGGATTGAAAAAAATGATTTTTATTTCATTTGATTTTTACACTCATAAATTAAAGTGATTTTGGATTATTTTTGTTAAAAAAAACAGTTTGACAAGCTAAAACCCCTTATTGATGATTAATTGAAAAGAAAAAGTTTAGAGGAAAAATAACTATAGATGAGGTTAATTTTATTAAATAATTTCTATTGGCTATAAATCTCATTGAATAACATATTTATATAATATGTGCATAATGTGACAATTCTAAAAGAAATATTAAAACTAAAATTATAAGGGTAAAAATAGTTAGTGCATCATTGGAAAATTTTGAAGAATACTAAAATGATTAAATTTTAAGGAAAATTTGAAAAAAAATATCCCATTAAAAATTTAATTGGTAAAAATGACAAAAATTAGAGTCTCTATGCATACAAAATTCGCCAAGTATTAATGCACCGTGCGTATAAAAATTTATCATATAATTCTCACTAATTAAATTTCTAATTGATATTTTCCCTCCAAAATCTTCTAAATTTTATTATTTAATTTCTTTCATATTTTAGATAATTTTATAAATACTGTTGTAAAATAAAAAAAAGTAGAGAATAACCGTAGAAAATGAGAGTAGATAAACAAGAGAGTATTTATTTATTTATTTATTTTCAAAAAATGCATAATGCATGCCTCTATTTATAAACAAAGCTATAAACAAAGCTTTGCAGTTTTAACTTTAAGAAATTTTACATATTTCTTCATAATAGGAAATGACGTGGGATAATAAAAATCATGGAAAGATGTGTCTACCCACAAAAATATTGCATTCCTAACAAACATAAAATTATTGAGTTTTTTGGTATTTGGAAGTACCCAAAAATATTTATTAGAAATACTTTTTCGTAAAATAAGGTAAACTCCTCCATATATTTACTTTGTATATCATAAAAATACTCTTATAATCATAGCTTTGTTTTTATCCAAACACCTTCAAAATAATTTTATTGTTTATTAGTACAAATATGACCACCTTCTCTTTTATCTCATCATCATTTTGTTTTTCTCTTTTCAAAATAACATTGAGTATTTGGATTAGTTTTTTAAAAATAATTTTATATATAAATATATAAGAAGAGTTTTGTCTCGATTTAGATAAGAACAAATTTCTTAATCATTTTCGGTGTTTTCTAAATTCTCTTATAAGTCTTCACTTATCCCGTAACATTTTTTTTTTCTGAAGTCAATTAGAGTGATCCAGGCATGTGTTTCACCCATACATCAACGGCTAACTCATGTTTCCGAATTTTCAAGGCACATTTTCAATTCGAAACTTGAATTCAAACCTCACGACATGAAAAAAGAAATCAATTCCATTTGATTCTATGTTATTGTTGATATGACTTTCAAACGTAGTCTTTTTTTTTGGGTGACAAACATAGTCTTAAAATTTGAAATTTCAGAGGAAGCAATTTGAAGAATCAAATCAAATACCCTGCATCTCTCTTTTTTTTTTTCTCCCCCCGGCTATGTCTATGAATTGTATATATAATTATTTTTTTTGGCCAACATATATATAATTAATTTAAATATAATTTAATAATTAATGTCTAAAGTTTAGTGACCGTCGGTTAAAATGGCTGGGGGGAAAAAAGTGTTCGTTAAAAATGGAAGTGTTTGCGAGAATAGCCGCCATCCACAATTACAGGCATTACTGCCCTGGCCGTTAAGCTGCTCATAAACCCTAGCAAACTAACTGTTTCAAGAGCTGAAAAAATCGGGGACTGATTGAGCTGAATCATGGCTGTGAACGATGCTGACCAATCACATAAGCCTCACAGGTCTCGTCAGTCTGGTGCAAAGAAGGCTAAGTCAGATAAGAAGAAGAAGCGTGAAGTTGCCGATGATCATCACAAACAAAATCCTAAGGTACTCTCCGTGCTTCTTTTTTTTTTTCCCCGGTTTTGGGGTTCTTCTGTTCGTTCGTACAAGAAGAGACTGTAGTCTTAATTATATTTAATGGCGGAGCATAATGTATTTTAGGCGTTTGCTTTTGCGTCTTCGGCGAAAGCCAAAAGATTACAATCCCGTGCCGTCGAAAAAGAGCAGCGTCGTCTTCATGTTCCAATTATTGACCGGGCTTATGGTGAGCCAGCACCTTATGTTGTCGTGGTGCAGGGCCCTCCCAAGGTCTGCGCTGTCCATGTCTTACTTTCCCTGTCTTTGATCATAGTTTAATTTGCCACCGTTTTCCTTTTAGTTTGTTTCTTGTTGCCTCAAACTGCTTCGCCTTTAGGTGGGGAAGTCGCTCTTAATAAAGTCCTTGGCAAAACATTATACGAAGCAAAATTTGCCTGATGTTCGAGGTCCGATAACCATTGTATCAGGTTTGTGCATATTTACTTGGCCGTAGTCCTTGCTTATTTACTTAGCCATATTACTGGCATACGGTACTTTTATTTTAGACTATTTCTGTAATTTGGTGGAAAATCGATTGGTACTGATAAATGATTGTTTGATCAGGAAAGCAGAGGCGACTGCAGTTTGTGGAATGCCCGAATGATATCAATGGCATGATAGATGCCGCAAAATTTGCAGATCTAGCATTGCTTCTCATAGATGGGAGCTATGGTTTTGAAGTGGTGAGTTCCTGGAGGATTAATTAATAGAGTTGTATACTGAAACATATTGGGTCAATCTCGTTAGTCATTATATGTCACTACAGTATGGGAATGCAATTGAGCTAAACTTGGTGTGTCATGCACATTGTGTTTGTAATTGTCCTCACGCTTTGTCCCCTTACAACTGCAGGAAACCTTTGAATTCCTTAACATATTACAAGTTCATGGGTTCCCCAAAGTCATGGGTGTTCTGACTCATCTTGATAAATTCAAGGATGCTAAAAAGTTGAAGAAAACAAAGCAACGTCTTAAACACCGTTTCTGGACTGAAATATACGATGGAGCTAAATTGTTTTATTTATCTGGTCTTATTCATGGAAAGTAAGCATCTTAACAATATTCTCCTTTGTTGATCAGAGTCTCTGTTTTTTTCACAGTCATTAATAATGATTGCAAATGTTAGGTATGAGTTTAATTTATAAAATGTCTTTTTTTTTTAAAAAAAAAATTGAGCAGGTATTCAAAACGTGAAGTGCACAATCTTGCTCGCTTTATTTCTGTTATGAAGTTTCATCCTCTGTCTTGGCGAACTTCCCACCCTTATGTTTTGGTGGATCGGTTTGAAGATATCACTCCTCCTGAAAGAGTTCTAGAAAATAAGAAATGCGACAGAAAAGTCACACTTTATGGTTATTTGAGAGGGTGCAATTTGAAAAGGGGAAATAAGGTACGCTTTTGTTCTGCTAACTTATCTGCTGTTTTAAAACCAATAGCATCATGTTTGATGTTTCCCTTTTAAAGCAATGCATGAACCATTGTTTTCCTCCTCCTACTCCTCCTTTTATGCATTTTTAACCATTGATTGTGCGTTAGTTTGCTCACATCGCTGATTCTGCATTGCATACTTATTGTTTCCCTATGAATGTATCCCTTCATTTGCCCTGTTGACCCAGACTTGCATATGCTAATTAGGAGGAAATCTGCCCGAGTTGATCTCTAAATAACGCGCCATACCTTTTTTGCTTGAAATGATTAACTTTAATGTCAAAAATACCAAGTTGCGGCATCTGCTTGTATATGGGGCTGTCACCACATGATTCACTTAAAAAATTTATGCTTTTCAGTATCTGCTCTCTCTCAAACTTCACTGGTCTCTTAAAAATGCAAAGCATGTTAGACTAAGGGAACTGGCTATGGTGTTTGGCTCAATGATAGGTCAAAGCATGTAATGAACTTCTACTGTCTTGCTTAGTTTGATATGGCAACTTGATGATCCAGCGGCATTTGCATTGCTTCTGTTTATGTTCCCCATTGTTGGCACTCAACATATATTTTGGAAATCAGGTGCACATAGCAGGAGTGGGTGATCATAGTTTAGCTGCGATCACCCTGTTACCTGATCCTTGTCCTCTACCATCTGCTGCAAAGAAGAAGGGACTGCGAGATAGGGAAAAGTTATTCTATGCTCCCATGTCTGGTCTTGGGGATCTTCTATATGACAAAGATGCTGTGTACATAAATATTAATGATCACTTTGTCCAGTTTTCGAAAGCCGATGATGAAAACTCATCCATGGCAGGCAAAGGTTTTTACATTTTGTTTTCCGTCTCATCATGCATTCTTTCTTGTTGATGGGAATATAATAGTCATTTGATGGTTCTTATAATTTTTAGTTTCCTGTACATTCTGTTCTCCTGGCCTGGGACTATTATTTGTTAACCTGGTATCTTCATTGAATATGATCTCTACCAGCTACGTGTACTGATCAGATAATATATTATTACATTACACATTCTTGTCCCATTTTTTCCTGATTCCAGTTTCTTTGTAGTAAAATATTATACTTTCCACTATTTTAACAGGAAAGGACAGAGACGTAGGGGAGGTTTTGGTGAGGTCCCTTCAGAATACCAAATACTCAATAAATGAAAAACTAGAGAACAGCACTATCAATCTTTTTAGCCAAAAGTCATCAGAAGCACTACATGATGCACGGGGTAGAAATGTAGAAAATAATGAAATGGATATGGGTGGCTCAGAATCTGATCAAGATGAAGCCGTTCCACCCAGTGCCATATCAGACAGTGAAACTAGTGGCTCTGAAGAAGATAGTGACACGAGAGATGGTAATGCTGCCACTGCAGATCACTTAAAAGAATGTGTTGAGTTTCATGGTGGAAGACTTAGGAGAAGAGCAGTATTTGGGGATGATGTTAATCAAAATGATTTGAAGGTAGGCTGAAAGTTGTTATTTGTGTTGAACAGAACCCCTACCACCCCTCCGTGGACCTCTATATTCTTTCTTAATGGTGGCCGCTTAACACGCTGGCTGGCAACTGTGATCTTTACTTAAATCCACTGATTCATTTTATGCAAATCATTTGTTTTCATATGCTACATATCTCAGTTTGGATATTGCAATGAGAATGCTCACCAGCACAAAATGACATCTTTTATAGGATTTAGATGAAGAGGACGGGGCTGTCAGTGATGATGCAGCATCATCTGACTCGGAATTTTCAGAAGAGAACCAAGATGATGATGATGCAGATGGTACAGTTCTTCAGCTCATTTTTAAAGATTCGTATCCATATGGTCTTTTTGGTTGTATAAGTGAGGGTTTGTTCTGCTACAGAAAGTAGATTTGGTAGACAAAAGTTCATTTTGGAAGGATATTAGGAGGATCTTACATGACAAAACAGTTTTCATTCCAATGTCTCGTTAGTCATTAAATTCGATGAGTCTTCAGATGTGACTTTACCTTGTTCCTGATTTTTTCTTTCAATATCCTTCTTAGAAGACAACGTGGGAGATGTTTCAAAGTGGAAAGAGTTGTTGGCTGAAAGAACCGTCTTACGGCAAACTCCTAGCTTGATGCAACTTGTGTATGGGAAGTCTACTGTGAATTCAACCAATGTGAAGAAAGAGGATGACAGTAGTGAGGATGAAGAAAGTGAAGGCGAATTTTTTAAGCCTAAAGAGGAATTCAGAAAGGTTGGTCATCTGCTAACACCCACTACTTGTTCTGCTAGTGTTCATTTCTTTCAGAAAGAGAAATAATGCCTATTTGTTATAGCATTTTGATTGCATAAAATTAATCTTTGCACAACTAATAATTATTGCTTCACAGAATCACAACATTTCCCTTTCCAGTGAGAATTAAGCAATTTTTCACTGCACATATCAGGAGTCTCAAAAGATGCTATTTTTTTTTCTTGAGCTGAATTGGCCATTTTTGCCCTTGAGAGTATCTGCCTTCTTCCTCCCTTCCTCCCTTCTATTTTTCCTTCAAATTATTAATATAAACTGAAACTTTCTGTGCTTGCTTTTATCCTCTTTTTAAAATCTATAGCAAAAAATGAGAGAGGGATCAGATGGTGAAGATGTCAACACTGAGGACTGTTCCAAGACTGCAAAGTTTGTGGAAGTTAAACGCTGGGAAGACAAAGATTTTGGGCAAATTCGTGATCGTTTTGTTACTGGTGACTGGTCAAAAGCTGCACTTAGAAACCAAGTATCTGAGGCTACAACTGGAGATGAATTTGATGCTGCCTATGGTGACTTTGAAGATTTAGAAGCTGGAGAGAAGTATGAGAGTCATCAGACAGATAGCGAAGTTCCTGAGATGGTACAAAAGGGAGAGGACTTGGAAGCTGAAGAGCGGAGGCTCAAGAAACTTGCTCTCCGTGCAAAATTTGATGCTCAATATCCTTTTCCCCCTTCTGTTTATGTTTTAATAGGAAGAGTTATCATCTTAGCTCCCCCTAAAAAGTAGTAGAGAAATAAAGACCCCTATTCTGTAATATAGTCCGGTCTACAATGAGTTGAACTTGAATTTATCTGTTGTTATGGGCACAATAATAAAAGTTCACTAAGAGCAGATAGAAGGATGCACCCCCCGGAGAACAATTAATAGTGGCTGTTGAATCATTATTACTTTGTTGCTTGGTACTCAGTTAAAGAAAATCTGTGGTTTTAGTGTTTTGGCCCCTGCTACGCTTTCTCTCTACTATTTTTTTCGGTGTTGCAAAAACTAATGCATTATGGATTTTATTTGTGACCTTAATTTTGATCTACGTATGATGGATCATCTGAGGAAGAAGCAAGTAATAAAAATGAGGCCAAGTTCCATCGTGGCCAAGCTAATGAAAGTAGCTATTTTGACAAGGTAAATTCCTTTGCTTTGATTTAATCTCATCTACTGATCCACTTAAAGAACAGCACTCATTCTTGGTTTTCCAGTTGAAGGAGGAAATTGAGCTTCGGAAGCAGATGAATATAGCTGAACTCAATGATCTTGACGAGGCTACCCGATTAGAGATAGAAGGCTTTCAAACAGGAAGTTACCTAAGATTGGAGGTTCATGATGTCCCTTATGAGATGGTTGAATACTTTGATCCTTGCCACCCAATATTAGTAGGAGGGATTGGTCTTGCGGAGGAAAATGTTGGATACATGCAGGTCATTGGCATTTGTTTTTTTGTTGTTCCATACTTATGTTACCACCCTGACATAAGTGGTTTGCTGGGACTTGTCAAGTAGTTTACGCATTAAACAACTGGAAAGTGAAATATTATTAAATTTCATTGGAAACAAGTGTTGAACTTCTTTGTCTAAAAAATTATTGGCCGAGTCAAATATGTCTAATAATTAGGACAGAGATCACATGAAAAAATATATAGAATTAAATGAACTGGTTGGGGTTAGAGATAGGCCAGGTTATTTAAACGCAGTTATCTCAATCCCAGATATAGAAGTTTTTGCAGGAATTTATAAGACAACCACAGTGACTTGTGATTAATTTTGGTTTGGTTCTTATAACACGGGAGGAAACTTAGTTTTTAGGTGTTTTCTATTAGGTTCTTTGATAACACGTGGAGAATTCTTTTCCTGAAGGATTTACTAATATAGTGCTAGGTAAGCTTCAAAATATGCCCCCTGAAAATCTTAGTAGTGAATGCCTGAGGGAACTTCACAAAGGTTTTTTTTAACATATTAAGGATGCTTGAGACTGGACTTTATTTTGATGATGCAAACATGGAACAACTTGTATTTTGTGAATGATGACATGCCGCATTTATATCCACGAAAGAAGGAAACATGCTGGGCTACTTGTATGAGTGGGAAGATTAAAATTTGGCTGTAAAAACAGGTTGCTACTTAATAATGTTTGTTTTAAACTTCCATATCTTTCCCATTTCTTTAAACTCTTGCTGTGATTCGTCCTTTCCTTCTCTCATCAAAAAATTAATTAGTTCTTCCTCTTCTGTACAGGCTAGGTTCAAGCGACATAGATGGCACAAGAAAGTTCTTAAGACTAGAGATCCTATAATTGTTTCTGTTGGATGGAGGCGTTACCAGACAACCCCGGTTTATGCCATTGAGGATCGTAATGGGAGGCATCGTATGCTTAAATACACTCCAGAACATATGCATTGCCTGGCTATGTTTTGGGGCCCTCTTGCCCCTCCCAACACTGGGATAGTTGCTGTTCAGAATTTATCAAACAATCAGGTCAAATTTGACACCTTATTGAGTCTCTGGATTTTGCACTTGACTTTCATCGGGATTCACTTCTATCCAATTATATTAACAGAATATACCTGAATTTCTTCATTTCTATTTGCTTTTTTACCATAGAGATGTTAGTCCTTCACTTTCCCTTTTATTTTGGGTTGATTAATGTAATCATTTTTGCTCAGTGAGACTTTGTTTGATTTATCAGGAATCATTTAGGATTACGGCAACTGCTGTTGTACTCGAATTTAATCATTCAGCAAGGATAATGAAGAAAATAAAGTTGGTTGGCTACCCTTGTAAGATATTCAAGAAGACAGCACTCATCAAGGATATGTTCACTTCGGATCTTGAAGTAGCTCGGTTTGAAGGTGCGGCTATTCGAACAGTCAGTGGGATCAGGGGTCAGGTTAAGAAGGTTCGTCCTCTGTAACTCTTACAGCTCTATCTCTTGTCTAATGTTTTTAAGGATGTGAGGATGAGAATATAGAGAAGATGCAAGGATTGTATAAGTTATTTGCCATCTGTTTATGCTGAGATTTTAATCTGGCAGGCTGCAAAAGAAGATATTCTTAAGCAGTCAAAGATGAATGGAGGCCATCCTAAAGAAGGAATTGCTCGGTGCACATTTGAAGACAAGATTTTGATGAGTGACATTGTTTTCTTGCGGGCATGGACTCAAGTTGAAGTTCCTCAGTTTTTTAATCCCTTAACAACAGCATTGCAGCCTCGTCAGCAGACCTGGCAAGGAATGAAAACAGTTGCTGAATTGAGAAAGGATTACAACCTTCCTTTACATATAAATAAAGATTCACTTTACAAGGTATGAACTGGTTCTATGCAGAAAATATGGCTGGCCCACCGACTTTGCTGCTTTCTTCCCTGTTTTGGGTCTTATTTTTACTTACGATTTCTTTTTTTCTTTTTGTTTTTTTTGTTTTACCAAACTTTTTACTTACGATTGGTTCTATGCTTTTTTTGTTTTTGTCTATTTTCTTTGCCAGAAAATTGAAAGAAAGCCGCGGAAGTTCAATCCATTGGTGATTCCCAAGTCTCTACAGGAATCACTTCCTTTTGCGTCAAAGCCTAAAGATATGCCTAGTCGAAAGCAGCGGTCACTTGCTGAGAGAAGGGCTGTTGTTAGGGATACGCACGAGCGTAAAGTTCATGCTCTCGTGCAACAGCTCCAATTAATTAGAAATGAGAAGGTTAGTGTGCGGACTATTTTGCCATTCTCTTGACTGTCGTTACTTGCATCTCTGTCCCTGTCCAAGACGATCTAGAGTTGTCAGCTCTCTATTTGCCTCAATCATTCCTCTATATTGTAGCGGTTCAACTATTTGTATTTAAGCCGACATTTCTCACGGCTTCATTCTACGTCTTATGTGGACCTTGTGCAGTTGAAAAAGCGAAAACTTAAGGAGGAGGAGAAGAGGAAAGAACATGAAGCTGAGAGAGCAAAAGATGAGCAATTGCTAAGAAAACGCCAAAGAGAGGAAAGGCGGGAGAGATATCGTGAGCAAGAAAAACTGAAGAAAATCCGGAGAGCAGAGGTCTAAGTTTGACTTAACTATGTTGCAGAACTGATTTGTCCTGTGCAGGCAAAAAGATGTTTGATGAGGGGGCGCCCTCCAGAAAAGTGAAGTTTTGCGGAAATTACAGTCCCCTTTGGGGCATTCAGAAGGCGCGGATACCCGAATTACTAGCAGCCATGGGTCGAGGGAAAAAGCCTGTGAATAAGGTGCGGCGTGTGAGGGTTAAATGGGCTTTGAATCCCTTGCGTGGCGTACATTTTGGTGACAACTGCTTGGCGCATCCTAAATATATTTTTATGTTTTGAGCGGCTTGCAGCCGGCCGTTCGACTTGTAAGCTAGAAATGTCGTTGGGCCTCGGCATGGTCCCAAGTATAACATGATAACCAAATATTCGAATCATTTATTTATTTCTTATTTTGCTTTTGAGTTATTAAATTATTAGACATTTTTACTGCAGATTGCTCTCGATTTATTTGCTTCATTGGAAGGATTTCATGAATACTCCCCCCGGCTAACCAGGATCACGAGTAATAATAATCGACATTACATAAAATTTATTCATACTCATAAATATATGAAAAATTATGAATAAATACTTGTTATTTTTTCCCTTATATTTTAAATTGGTAAGAAAGTATTTTTAAAAATAGTAACAGTAATAGTAATCGACAATACATTAGCTTGTGTTATCAAGCATTAAATAATGTACTTCATTTTAAATCATTTCCTTTTTAACACTTCTGGAACGAATTGAATTGGAATTTCTTATAATGGCGATCTCAAGCAATTCAACTTCCTATTAAAAAAATTCTTGTGCACGTCATCCTTATGCAGGGACCGTGCTAATATTCTTTATATCGTTGGATCATGGACGTCCCCAAGGGGGCCTATTAAAAAAATTTCTCCAACAAAGCATCTCACTCCATTCCAAAGAAATACTCACAAAAAAAAGTTATTTGACAAGATGGTACTGTCTAGATCGGAAAGGTGGATATATGATAACAAAATGTTTTGAGCGATTGAATTCATCCTTCTACTCTCAACATGCAATCAATAGTTCAAAACACAACCATCAAGTAGTTAAGGAAGTATCCTACGTCGCCGGCGTGGAGTTTCTCGTTTCACGTACATTTTCTCCATCTCATCCAGCGGTCGAGTGGATCCATCTGGCAAGCTGGCAAATTTCCACCCCCCACCACCTCCACGCTTCCCTCGAGGTCCTAATTTCTCTACTGTAAATGTCCATCCATTAGAAGGGCGACGCCGACTATATTTGTGGCATTTCACCTCCCCAGCCATCTAAATGAAATTAAAACCACATTATTCAATGAATTCAGCAAACAGAAAGAAACATCTGATTATCAGGATAAAGGCAGAATAGCAGTTTAATCGACAAACATCTACAATGTTTGCAAACAATGGAAAAGGAAATTAAATGACACTAAGGACTAAATTTCCAGGCAAAATGACTGTACAAGACGCGCCCAAAATAATTGGACCGTGAATCAAACAAACAGACCAATAATCCACTAATCTTTTAGAAAGGAAAACATTTCTGAGGAAAATAAACCATCAGCACTTCTCAATAACTGAAAGTATTGTCATGCTTTATTTCTTCAAAAAATGTTACATGCTTCGCCGAGAACATCTAGTAAATCAATAAAGCTACCTTTTAGAAATTTACCAAGTCTTCCAACCCACAGTTTTCCCTTTCCATGAAAAGCAATGATAATCAGGCATGTGGCGTACCATAGTCATCCAAACAGCCAACAGCCACATATGGTCCATTAATACTCAAGTTTTGTCATAGAATGCCACAATTTAGTCCTTAAAAGATCACTTTCCTTTTACCTATAACTCTCCAAGAATAAAGCCTTTCAAGTTAATTTCCATACCATTTTCCTCTGATCAAAATGGCCCCATTAAGCAATGCCAGATTCACTGAACACACTGACATATGATAAATGGGAGTCCACATGAGCGAGAAAATAATCTTTTAGAAACTAAATTATTAATTTTCTGTGTTCTATTATGTCTTCTAGCAAGACATGGGCAGTCAAGACATTCATAGATAATATTACAGAACAGCAAATTATAAGCACCAGAGTCTCAAATGGTGTTAGAGGCTTTGAATTAAAGTCACCTATCAGACAACTTATCGGTAATTAGCATAAACACTCATCACTGTGAGGGGCATCTGTAGTCAAAGATAATACCACAAGTCCTACCAGCAAATCCTATCCTCATTTAACTTCTATTACGTATATGCCTGATTTCATCTATCATTTCACAAAAACCAAAATATAAAAATGTTGGCTCCTCTCTGCTACAGAAAATTTAAGACCAACAAAAAGACAAATAATGAATTATCAGCGAAAAAAATAAAAATAAAATAACATCAGCGTTCTCTCCATTGAGAAACATAAGGTTATAGCCGCGGAACTCACTTTCTTTTTGTTGAAGTTCATCCTTTGAACAAACTCTTGATAAAGCATCTCGTCTTCCTTTTGGGAGATTTCATAATGGACTTCATCCAAATCTTTGGTGATACCATCCCAACCCTCAGGCATAACCTTAAAGTCAGGTTTGTAAGGAAGCGATGCAACATGAAACTCCCTGTCATGTGAAATAAAAAATCTGCCAAAAAAATATTAAGACAAAAATAAAATAAATTATTCTAGCTAAAAATAAATAAGCTCTTCACCATATCCCTAAAACAACTTAATTGTCTATGTGCCCATAGCTTGCAAACTTTTAACCCAAGTCACATCACACATGAATCAATTAGGATGAAAGCAACGATAACGATTTTGGCAACCTTTTAACGCTTGGTCCATAAAATCTAAATAACCCGTCAACAACAACAGTAATACATGAAAGGCTTTTAAATAGAGAAAAAGGATGAGAAAGGCGATTGTAGGAAGGGTGGGAGGGCACACAATTTACAACTCTATTTCTTCTAAGTTATTTCCATAATTCATAAGCTGTTCCACAGTCCAACAAACCGGAAACAAACAGTTGACAATATATTATAAAGTAAATGAAGTAAAAGACATATTGATCAACGTAAATACATAAGAAACGGAAGCCACTACATGGCAGTTAATCCAGCTGAATGACGTAATATATAAGGTACATAAACCTCAAGGACACAATTTCGAGTTGGTCAAGGAGACAACTAGCAAAGAAAACTGGTAAACTCAGCTTGTTTGGTATTTCCTCTCAATTCAATTTCACGAGCAACAATAAAGAATTAAAAAAAAAAAAAAGACTTTATAAGGAAGACAGCAAGGCAACGTGAATAGACATTGGGACAGGGAACGCTTCCTTCCATCAGAATGGAGGAAGATTTATATTAATTTGAAAGCCTAGTTTGTATCTAAGATTGGTCCATCCAATGATAAAAAATGTGAACGACCATAAAAAACAGGAACATATGCGGTTCTCTTCGAAAGGAGGATTTTTTCCCCAGTGATCAGAGTTCATAGAACGGGAAGAAACTGAGAGAAAGAATGCACCCGACAAAAGTGTAAAAGAAAGGTCAAATTGTTGTAAAATCTGAACCATGACAATCAATGGAACAAATAGACAAAACAAAAACTTACTCGGGACAGGTGTCGAGCAAAACCTCAACAGAATCGTCGAGGGGATGGCCAAGTTTTTTCTCCTCTTCTTCCTCAAGCTCCTTCAGCCATAGAATGGCGTGCACTCTCTGCCTCATAATCCTGTAATCTTTGGCAAGCCTCTCAATAGTGTAAACCTCAGGGTTTTGCTTGTGCAAGCGATAAATCTCAGCTTTCTCGGAGTCCTTTAGATAAGATCCTCTAGCACCGGGCTCTTGCACTTGCTTCAGCAATACACTTATTTCACGCATCCTTTCATCCCATCCATCCACAAAAGCCCGACTCTTTTGATTTTCAGCCTCCAGTTCTTTCAACTTATCCTCTATGTCTTGTAAACTGGATAGCACTGAAGCTTGCCCATCAACTTGGCCATTGAAGTGCTGCTGTGTTAACCCAGTGGACCAAGACGACATGGACTCCCATTCCATACCATCGACGCCACTCCAGGATGATCCTAATCCCTTATCTTTTTGGTCATCACCGACTCCAGAATCGGTTGAGTAGCTTCTGGACCTCATGAATGGACGAGCTTCATAGCAATTGTGAGATCGTAATACTCTTGGGGTTGATATAGAAAGACGAGATATTAAACGCCGAATATTTTGCATGGTACCGGTAAAAGTATAACTCAAGAGACGCAGCGATGGCTGTGGACAAAGGACAAAGTTCAAGCTTCCATCCCAACCTCCATGTTTCCAGTGCTCGCCCTAGCTCCGATGCGGGGTGATGACTGATGCCGTTGCTCCACTTCATGGGCTTAGTTCGGCCCATCAATTATCTCAGCCCAACCCAAAATGTTGTCTCTTTTTGTTTTTGGATGCAAGGGAAAGAACACAAAATGTTGTCTTTTCCTGTTGGAAAATCCTTCATCCGATTGTCAACGTGGCATAATCAAATTGATATATCTGCTTTCATTTGACGGTCGAGATAAGTTCTGCATTTACCGCACAATGACTCTCTGGACAACTGAACACCTTTTCAGCCTCCTCCTCATCTTCCCTCCCTCCCTCCCGCTCCCGCTTCGTTCGTCGCCCTGCAGCTCTTTTGGTCTTGGAACTCTCTTAAGTAAGTTATTTGTTGTCATCTCTTTTCCAAACTGAGTTTTATTTCTTTTATTCTTTTCTGGACTGCTTTTAAAATTGCATCCGCTCAATTAGGAGCTGGTTCATTCGTTTGCATTTGTTCATTCTTCATCTTAAGCTTGGAAGTTACAAGCAAGTGAAGTTTTTGCGCTCTTTTGATCTTGCATTTTTTTGTTGTTGCGGAAGATCCCATGCTTCCGGTTATGGTAAATTTCTGGGCTTTTTAGGAGTTAAGATGGGAAAGCCCTCTAAAAAGAAGGGAGGAAGGCAAAAAAATAACTTGCTAGTGTTTTAATTATTTCGCGGATTCGACGCGGATGATCTTCATTTTCCACTCTTCCTCCTGTATTTAAGATCTTTTGTTTTTTTAATGTATTTTGTAAGTTTTTTATAACAAACCTTGAAGCGGCGGTAATTTTCTTTCTAGTTTTGCTGTAGCGTTTATTTTTGTCCTTTTATCTGAGAAATAAAGCCTATGGTCTACAAATCATGAATTTTCCTTCACTTTTCGCATAATTTTTTTTGGTCTCCGGTTTCACACTGACAGGTTTTCTCGATATCAGTTCAAAGAGGAAAAGTGAGATTCATTGCATTCTTGTTTTTTAGTTCGACATATGGCATTCTTGTTTAAAGGTAGAATAAGTCATGACATGGAATTAAATCTCCAAAAAAGGTAGTTGTATCTTCTATGGTTAAATATTTGACCGAGAATTATTCCCAGGGGAATGCCTCGGTTGAATTGAACATTGTTATGCGCACTATTACTTGAGTTACTTGGCTCATCTCTCAGTAATAACAGTTGTTTGAGACCAACGAATGAAGAACTATACATTTCTCCTCGAACTGATTCCTTTGATTTGTGTGGTTCATTTTGATTGAACTTTTAGAATCCTGGTATCATGTTAAAGGAAATCAAGTGACCAATTGGTAGGCTCGGAAAAAATTTTCTGCCCTTTTTGTTTTATTCATTGTGCATCCTCGATTCTCAGTTGAGATAAGCATTCGCCCCTCCGAAACTGCCATTCTAATTTAATCTCACCCCAAGAGAAAAGCCCAGAAAACGTATGTGTATAATTTATTTCAAACAATAAAAATGATTAACTTGTTCAATTTGACTTAGTTAATGGTAGCTGCATATCTTTTGTTTTTTGGCCTGAAGCTGCATATCTGTGTTGGTCGAGAATTAAGTGGTGATGAGAAACCTCCTTGTTTATGGCCTTACTCCTTCTGGTATCAATAGACTGATCTATTATCTACACTTCATTTTTGTTGTGGACCTCAACATTACAGGTATTACTGAGTTTGCTGCGTTGTTATCTGCCTCTTTCTAGGGTATAACCAGCAACCACAAGGTTTTCCTCTTTAAAACTCAATGGTACCTGAGGGATAGTGGAGTTATGGGCTTATTTCGGGATGCTAGATGTTTTAAAGGTAAGAGTTAGGACAATTGATGGTTGCTGCCTTGCCGCTGCATCATTTATCTTGCATTATAAGTCTTCTTAAGTTATGCTTTGTAAAATTGTGTAAGCTTCCCTTATGTTAAAACCATTTAAGTTAATATGGGTTATTGCTGGAGTGTTCATACATATTAACTTAGTTTCTATTCATGTTTTAAATATTAGTTTGATCAAGACATATTGATAGGCATGTAAGTACACAGCTGGGTTCTGTTTCCTGTAGACAGTGCAGTGTCGTGCATTTTATGGCTAATACTTGTTCATTGGTAGCATTTGTTTGGTCTGTAATGCTGATGATATTGCATTTGTTGCAGTTTCTTTGTACTGTCAACTACTTTTTCTTATCATCTGGCTACCTTCTTACCAAGATGTGATGGCACAACAGAAACAAATTGACTTCAGTCGTGTTTCTTCAATGGCAGAGTTAGCCAAGGCACCTACTGTTGGACTATTTGATCCCATAGAAATATCACCTGCTGTCATACCACAACACCCTAATCCCACAGAGCCTCTGTCACCAATGTATCCTACTTTCCCAGCCAGATATGAACCAGTTTTAACTGGGAAATGCCCAGTAAATTTTTCAGATATATCAAATATCTTAGATAAAACAGCATCTGATTGTGCTGGACCTTTGGCAGCCCTTGTGGGGAATGTAATATGTTGTCCACAGTTTACTAGTTTAATCCACATCTTCCAAGGTTACTTCAGCATGAGCTCTGATAAGTTGGTTCTTTCGAGTACAGTTGCTGAACATTGTTTTTCTGATATCATTAGCATCTTAGCCAGTAGGGGGGCAAACAGTACAATCTCTACACTTTGCTCCATAAAATCATCTAATCTTACGGGTGGGTCCTGTCCTGTGAAGGATCTTTCCACTTTTGAGAAAACAGTTAACACAAGTAAATTACTTGAGGCTTGCAGCACTGTTGATCCACTGAAAGAGTGCTGTAGACCTATTTGTCAGCCTGCAATAATGGATGCAGCACTTCAGATTTCAGGGAGAGAATTGATGATCAACAATAATAAAAATTTGGGCGGAGAAGTGAATCACATGGATTATCTCAATGATTGTAAAGATGTGGTTTATTCTTATGTTTCAAGAAAACTTTCGTCAGAGGCTGCAAACACTGCCTTTCGAATACTGTCTGCCTGTAAAGTAAACAAAGGTATGGAAACTATATGGTTTTGACAATGGCATACTTGAGCAAATTTGTCCATATATCTCTCTTTTTTTTTTTTTTGGTACTAACAATTTAACCCTCCCCGGCAGGGGAGCCACACACACCTGTATACCTTGTTTTGAGAACATCTTTAAGGTTTATGGTTTTCCATCTTATAAATGAATAAAGCAGTGCTTATGGAGAGCACTGCTTTATTTTCATTGACATACAATTTCCTCATCATATAATTATTTCTCTAGAGACTTTAGTTTATACCCTGGCCTTTTTTTTTGGGGGGGGGGGGTAATATTTGAATTTAGAGTTAAATTTAATATATTTCCTGGAAGGAAAAAAAATGTAGACTATACCTCGATGGGAAGCAAATGAAATCCCTCTTTTTTTCACTATCGACAAGCTAGAGTCCTTCTTTTCACTGTGCATGTCTTAATGAACTGCTTCACATGATACTAAATTTCCAGTGTCATTTCATATCATTTTAATTATTCTAACGAACAAAGTAAAATTTGAGGTAATGTATACCCAATGAAATTACTATTTTGTGTTTCTATTCTTCCTCTTCTGCTGTTGTTTCCCCTTTTTATTGTCTTACTCTTACGAACTGAATATTTTGGCTGTGCAGTTTGCCCTTTGACTTTCAAGGAGCCTTCAGAAGTAATTAATGCTTGTCAGAATGTTGCTGCACCTAGCCCTTCCTGCTGTAGTTCATTAAACATTTATATTGCAGGGATACAAAAGCAAATGTTAATTACAAATAAACAAGCTATCATCTGTGCTACACTTTTTGGATCTATGTTACGTAGAGGCGGCATAATGACAAATATTTATGAACTCTGTGATGTAGACTTGAAGGATTTCAGCATACAACGTACCTACCCTGCTGCATTTGTTTTGTTTTTTTCCGCCTACTACTATCTTTAGTTTATCTGATTTAGTTCTTTTCTGTTGTGCATCTGCTCGGGGCTGGAACAGCATATGGACAACAAGGTTTGCTACTTCTACTCCTGCGATCAATTAAATGATTTTTTTTTTTTTGGGGGGGTGAGAAAATGGTTATATATATATATATATATATTTTTTTTTGGGTGAGAAAATGATGTTATATTTATTGCCTTATGAATTTGATGCTGATTAAAAATATATATATATGGAGTTGACAGCGTGTACTTGGAAGTTTGGGCGTAGTTTGTTGCCTGAATTGGGTCAAGATATCATGGCAAATGGGTTTTGAGTCATTGCATTGGGAATTGTTCCCTTCTGATTTATGCCAAGATTGATGGATTAGGCTTTGTTGGTTGAATCTGCCATCCAAGTTGATACGAGACACCTTCCTGGGTTGATTAGATTGCACGGATGGCTTTTACCCTTTATATTTGATTGGATAGCAGTTGATGTGTTCCTTAAATCATCATAACCGGGGGGGAAAAAAAAAAAGCAGAAGACCATGCTTTTCATATAAGGGAATGACAGAAGACCATGCTTTTCTTACAAGGGAATGATGTTATTGTTTGTAGGATTGATAATATTGGTTTATGCAGGATGCCTGCTTCGGAGCCTGCCTGCAGACGTGGTGTTTGACAACTCAACAGGCTTTAGCTTTACTTGTGACTTGAATGACAACATTGCTGCACCCTGGCCTTCATCATCTTCGATCACATCCGTGTCCCTTTGTGCACCTGGTACATGAATAGACTGAATGTTCACTCCGGTTATTTTTAAGTCCTGGATATTTGGATACCATGTTATTGGGTCGCATATTACTTACATTTAACCTGTTTCTTGAGTTTTTCAGAGATGTCATTACCTGCACTACCGACGTCGCAGACTTCAAAAAATATGGGTGAGTGCCATTCCCTTGTGCATTTCATTTATGTTTTAATAGAGACAATTATGGACCCTGTTCATAATTGATATATATATATATATATATATATATATCCATAAACTAGTTCTTGCTTTGTCTACCCAAATTTATCTGTCTCAGAATATTGTTGCTCATCAAAATTGATTTTGTAACTATGATGCGTTTTGCAGGCTGTAATTCTAGGAGATTGGAATATCGCATACTTATTTTTTCATTTTTCATCTTTGGTGCGTTACTGCACTAGAGAGATTTTAGGATTGAGCTGGTTGTGTCGGGAGGGCCTTTTCCAAATTTGCTGGCGTGTATTTGGCATGTATATTTTTAAATGGCCTGTGTATGTATAGCATGCCCCAACCCCGTTTTGCCTCTTTTTTTTTTGGCCCCGGTTGCCTTTGCCCATCTTTCATCTACTTCTGGATATCCCGTGCGTTTGCTGCTTGTATTTGTGTAGCTGCAGCTCGTATCCTGAAAACGCGCTGTGTTTGATTGAAGCTGCCCTGATGATGCTTAGGGGAGGCAATTAAGTGTTTTCATCAACATATTCCGGCCTGAAGCATTGGGATAGGTTATTGTTACTCACATGCATATTCTGACATGTTAGCTTTTGCCATATGTCCGTAAATTCAATTTCTAAATCAGCCGAGCAGTAGATTCATATACGACATTTGATAAATGTTGCCAGCACGAAAAAGAAAGACAAGCTAATAAAAAGGAAGATTTGTGACTCCGGAAACTAACTCCCTATCTCATGTTTTGCAAAGATGACCTTAAGAATGCATAAAATTGCGCGAGGATTACAAGAACGAAAACACGAATCCGCCGCTGAAACCAAGTTTCCAGCAACATGAATGTTATAAAACCATCTTTGTTTTTAAGTGATCACAAAAGGGATGAAAGAAGTGGAGGGCACGTGATGCCGGGAAAGCGAGACAGTGAACAAACTCAGCAGACGACACGGGGATTTTTCGTATCAGATCTATAAGTCCAACCGACACGGCCTCAAATTTTTCTTGCATCGTGAATGAAGCATGAGGCTGGGTACTCTTTCTGGCACAACAGCTTACGCTAAGGCATGGTTTAACCATAGAGGACTCAGTTAAGCATCATATCTTAGCAAATAAACTGTCCACCATGGCGCATGACTGATCCGATGTTTTATCAAATTGCATGTTCTCCATACAGAAGAAAATTAATTCAGCCTCCGCATCAGACAGCTTACCATAAGTAAAAGAGAAATCCAAAACCTCTATGGATCATGGGGATCTTGAGGTCCATAACGACTGCCCACCCCAAAACCACCAAAGCCACGGTCACATGTTCCGCTTTCATAAAGCTTCCATCCCCTCTGGACCCATGGCCAGAATTATAATCCAAGGTCCACCCCTACGTGGGTTAACAGATCTGGACATTCAAGTGGGTCTACTGCTTGCAGTGACACTAACAGAAATTGGGTTTAGCAAAAAAATCAAGATTTAAGTTCTCGCCGGGAAAAGTATCTAAGTTTTATACCTGACAGTATTTCTAATTTGATTGTCTTTGTTAATAGTACAACCGTGAAGATATTAAAAAAAAAAAAAATACCTACATAGTTCTGCTACCAGGACCTTGCACGTACAGGCCTTCCGACGGTGATCCTGACAATGGTTGCATTCTTATAAACACACGCAAACAAAAGAATACTGGTTTTTCAAACAGGAAGCAGGGAAATGAACAGTTGTTTTTTCTCTTCAATTTGTGCATGTCATCCTTACACGGGCTATACTAATCTTTGTGTTGTTCCAATTTCATCCGATGTCCCGAACAGTTGCTTTCAAAATGCTCAGTTTATTATTATTCTTTCTTATTTGGGGGGGGGGGGGAAGCTGAAACGAACGGGAAGAACGGAGTAAGGTGATTGTGATTAACGCATGAGGAGGAGACTTTTAGCCAAGGGAAAGGGAAAACAATGATGATCCATAATGGATCAAACACGTCTAAACAAGTTTTGATAGAGGGATGGGCAATTGAAGAATCGAGGACCAAAGTTAATCAGAATGCGACAGGAGCGCAAGCGGAAGCTAAAGAAATTGAGCTAGAAAAAGAGGGAACGGAGATGATAAAAGGACAGTGAATGCCAAGAGCGAAAATGGGAAACACGACCCTGAGGATTCTATTACATATTTCTTCTCAGCCCACTATGCCAGAGACACAGTTTATCATAAAATAATCAACTTAACTAATTTTTTTAAATTTTTTTAATTAACATAAATTCAGAATTTTCTCAATTCACTCTGAACTTAACATTAATTTTTATTGGACCAAGAGCATAAAGATTAAAACTCTCCTAATAAATACGTTTCTCGAGTTCACTTAAAATTAGTTAAAATAAATTAATCGAAACATCAATTGTCAATCAAAGGAGACCTCCGAATTCTCCACGCTACTTTCAACAAAATTTTACACGCATTAAATATACATGAATTATACACACACACACACACGAGCAAGCTGTTCAGCCGTGTCCCGCAGGTTTCAATATTTCTCAACTTCCCTTATCATGCTGCCCTATACTTCCACCACAATTTTCTCGGTCTCCACGCTCTCCTTTGAAAACATCCGACCACCGTCTTCCAATGTCAGTTTGATTTCTCATCGGCTTTCCATTCTTAATATGAATTGAAAACTTTCGATTCCGTCATAATTTTACATACTTTTTGCATCTACCAAATGAACTTATGAATCAAGTTTGACTTTATCCAAGAGCCAGCTAAGCTTAATCACAAAGCTACCGCTTTGATATGAGTTGAGACACCACAAAGGATAACATAGGGAACCTCATACGCCAACCAGGAAGCAAGCAAGAACCAAGCATTAAGAATATTCTTGAATAATATTTGACTCAGTTTAGAGGTTATTATGATTTAACTTCGTTCCTGTTTCATTCTATTTTTCCAATTCTTAATATAAAACGTAATTAATTAATTTGTGTACATTAAAAATGTTAGTTAAATTACTTAATATAACATGTTTTACTAAAACACTCTAATAAAGTTTCCTCCCTCCTTTCTATACTTGATTATTATTGAAAGAAGATCAATAGGATTAATTTAAAAAAAATTACTAAATATGTAAAATAAATCTTATATATATAATCAATATTAAACATCAAATTAGATCCTACATTAAGGATCTGATTACCACTTTATTGCTACTGCCAGTGCCATCCATTTTAAAGAGTAAGAAAACGAAACCTATACATCCTTTCTTTCCCCCTTGTTTCTTCAACTATATCATATATACACACGAAATGAGATTAAGGCACCGTAGTGAGATATACCTCTTTCCTGCCAAACAACTTCTAATTTCTATTCTGCTTCTAGCATATACAGATCTATAGAGTAAACACGCTAAACGCTTCCGCTTGACTAGAATTTCTACTATTCAATCTTCCAAACAGCCACTGAGGAAGCAGCAAAGTTGGTTGCACTAGGACTCTGGTACGTGACTTCTTCGAACCAGGTCGCATGCAGCTCCACTCCTGCAATAGGAAAAATCGTATATCTAGATATTTGTTGAAGCAGGACTTACAATGGTCACGTCGAAGCCATGCATAATCACATATGCTAGGAGCCTCCCAAGAAGCAACTGCTACTACCCGAGCTGCTTAAGAAGCAAGGCATATCACGAACAAGAAACTTCACACTACGTGCGCCCATATCTTCCAATATCTCCACGCACTCTTGCAGGTCCGAGTCGTTTACCAACATCACCCATTCCTCTTCGTCGTCTAGATATTTAAGCTGGAATGACCCATTTTGTAATTTGAATCTTGTCGCTACTTCTTCGTATAGTTGGAAACAACCTGCAGATCGGTCAAACTTGAAACGTATAGTATCATCTTTATAGGTGGCTTTCACAATAATTTTTGATCCGCTGTCAACAAGCGTTGATTTTACTTTGGAAGGCTTCTGATTCTCAAAGCTTTCAGCACCAGACGAACTGCCGTGGGTCATTGAACCAGAGCCATTGGATGAGTCTGTCACGTTTGAAGAAGTAGGTTGGCTGTGTTCAACGATCCCATTGTCCCTATCCACAATATTTTCCATCTCATCAGCAACCAGAGAGCTTGAACTCCAAGAGACAATATCAGGACCAGAACTTTTTGCTCCCTGACCATCCTTGTTCAGACCCCATCCGTTTCCATCTTTTGTAGCAACTGACCCAAGACATGCTTGCTCCGGACACCCCTGAGCCTTGACCATCCGGCACAATCCATTATCTAGGGCCATTGATTTTGAATCTTGACTACAATCAACAAAAGAACCTTTGGCTTTCTTCAATTCTCCCTCGCCTGAATTCGGAATAATTAAACCTTGTGAGCACACAAGCTGGTTAGCCAAATAAACATCATTATCTTCCAACTTAATTGCCGAATTCTCTCCTTCACTACACGGTACAGTAGGCACCGAGACTCTGCATTTTGTCACACCCTCAGGATCTTGTACGGGCATACCCTTCTCAGAGAACAAAAGACGACCGTGTGCATCAAATTCTTGAATGATTGAACCTCCTGCCACAAAACCCCCAGCAGATGGGTCGAACTTTAGCCCTCCTTCTACTCCCTGAACAGAATCAAGCACAGTCTGGATTTTCTTTAATGAACGATTCACTTTATTTATTTTACGGGATGGCCATCTTGAAATGCCATGTTGCCTGCATATCCGCTTCAGAGTTGTAGGACAAACTGCACAAAGAAGCAAATTTGTCAACGAACTTGTCTTAGCATATTAACAGGTTCCATTCAGAAATACTCAACGTCTGTAGATTAAAAAAAAAAAAAAAAGGGATATGTTATAAAATTTGTATGTTTAGACATCTGCAGGGATGCTGATGAGCTCACTTAAGTCAGACACTCAGACACCCGCATTCTGCATATCTCGCCATGCAGAATGCATTCTTCTTCTAAATTTGACAACTGAATTTCAGACCCCAAAAAAAAAAAAAAAAAAGAACTGAATATAGTTTAATGCTAAGGCGTAACACGCAATCAGTGTTATAATTATCCTAGTAGCATTAATGGGGAAATATCCAGGATGGCTTTCAGAACGCAAAAATATGCATTCTCGTTCTCAAGCCATATAATTATAGCCTTCGCATTCACAAGTCAGACTAAAAATAAATAGGACAGAACTTAGATCCAGTGCCTTAGGTCCATATGTCCAGTGGGCCAATCACATGCCGCCACATAGATTATTTTTAAATATCAGCGCTTGACTCCATTGCAGACTCCATTAGCCGACAAAATTTTTTAAAAAAAATTGTAAAAAAACCAACAGAGGGACTGCAAGAGGGGACTACGTGAATTCTAAAATGGCCAACGAGATGCATTAGCCATTGTGAAGACAGGGCAGTGGCAAAGGAGAATCAGCGACAAATTTGACAGTGATGATATCACAAATCATACCAACAGGAAAACAATTCATCAAGTTTTGAGACCATATTAGGGTTCGTTCTGCTAAAAAATCAGACTGAAAAAACCCACAAAACTGCAGTCATATTTAATGATTCACAGAATAATTAGACTAACAAAGGGGAAAGTAATAAGAGATCAATATACAGAACCTTCAGATGTAAAGTCCATCATCACCAGGTCCAAGGTGTGGGCTATGGGAGCTGTGCAGAGAGAAAAGGAGGGAGGAGGGGGGGAGAGAGAGAGAGAAGAGTGGTAGAAGCAAGAGAGTGAAAATTCATATCGAAAGCTACTGAATAGAGAGCATTAGGATCCTCTTAGATTTATTGTTGCACCGGTTACCCAGAAGACCATGGGGTGTGATGATGAGCTCATCTTCGTCGATGAAATTACCGCAGCTCCTCTGTGTTTCTTTTTACAATTTTTTTCAGAAATTTTTGCAGCCTAACGGAGTGTTTAGACAGAGTTAAGTGCTGATATGTAAGAATAATCTAGGTGGCAGCATGTGATTGGCTCAATGGACATAATGGACCTAAAGCACTGGACCTAAGTTTTGTCCAAATAAATATCCATCATTATGACCCAAATAAATAAGCCAGGCCAGTCAATTGACAGAAATTAGCAAAAATCACATCATATTATAGTCTCACCACCAATGCTCTTTGCGGCATCCTTTAGACTACCAGAAAAGTAGTGCTGGAGAACACTCAAGCTGACATTCTTCTCACCCGTGCTTCTCTTTTTCTCAACCTGCCTTTTTGACCCATTCATTTCCTACAAGACAAGATACTACCATATGTTAAAGTTCAATCTCCAAGGCCAATAAGAATCACAAGTTCATAAAACCAATTACAAGCAAAGTTTAATATCAGTACATATAGCAAATGCATCCATAGATAGAAGATAACGGCTAGGGGTCTATTGCAGTACTTTTCAGCTATCCTTGAGGTAAAGAATTTAATACTTCCCAGCAACTTCATCAAGCAATATGTCCTAGTCGGCCAGTATTAACTTCAAGTATACGGAGAACTTGCAAAATGCTTATAAGTTTAAACACACGGCAATCATTCATTTCTCCAAAGTTATTCCCCAAGTTACACATCAACAAAAGCATGCTTGCCTGGAATGTTGCTAGATAACAGAGCTTAATAGTTGGGATCAGAGAATAGCGGTTGCAACCAAATGATACCTGGTTATAAGCATCTTCAATTCCATTGTTTCTCAAGTTGCAAACCTTCAAAGAAATCTTACTGACTGAGTCCTTGTCACCATCCATCAATTCTATTTGAGAGTTTCTCCTAGATATAGGCAAAAAATCTTGTACTTTTTCATTTTGAAGATTTACCAGCGACGCTGATATTCCTGATAATTCAGCATCAGTAACTGTCCTCAAACTCTTGCAAATTCTCTGCATGGTGCCCGAGAGATTATCCAATAAAAGTTGCTGCTCCGAACTCCCTCTCATATTGACAGGTAGAAAAAATTCTAAAATGTAATCATCATCATTAGTGAAGGTACTCCTTAGCCTGATAGCAACTGCAGCATTCAAATTGTACTTGCGTGCATGTTGAACAAGCGGATATTCACCAACATCATATGCCTTGACATCAGGATAGAAAAATGGCTGGTTTGACTGAATAGCTTTGCCAGCTGTGCCTTGCCCTTCCTCAAGATGATGTTCAACGCATGCATGAACAAATCCTTCCATCATTCTATCATTAACATAGCAAGCTGATTCTTCAATGCATAATACACATTTATCACTAGAACTTGAATGACCCTCCTTAATTAGCACTCTCATAGTTTCATTGCCAACTCCCTTCAAGTAACAACAGGGAATCCATGTCAATGCCAGAGGCAAACTATGTGCATGACACACAGCCCGTAACACATCAATGATCTCCATTAAAGCTGCTCTTTTGTTATTTGAGAGACTCTGCAGAAAAAGAAACCATCTTGTAAGACATGCAAAAATCAAAAACCACCTTGCAAAAGCACCAAACTTGTTATTCTTAAAACTTTGCTTGTTTATTTTTCCTATTTTCAATAATGTAGGGGAAAATCAATGCATCCTACTTTTCAGGTGTCAATAAATACCTGGGGAAGAAGTCGGCGAGTCACAGTAGTTCTTAAATTCACAACCTGCAGAAAGTTAAGATAAAGATGAATTTATTCTTATTACCTTCAATTAAAACTGATAGTGAATAAGAGAAGAGCATCAATGATGGCAAAATACAGAAAATTTGTTCTCAGAAAAGGAAAAGTTTAGATATATTTAAATTTTATGTATTTTCTGGCCCTCATGAATTTTCTAACTTTTTATTTATTAGCTTTTCTTATACTTTGAGGAAATTATGAGTGCTATTAGTCTGCTAAGTAGACCAATCATAGGCAAAAACTTCGAATATTTGAATGGAGTTTGAGGTAAGAATAAATATCTTCAAGAATATGACATAATAAATTTACAATCGAAAACCCAAGTCAAAAGGAGACATTGAATAAATTTACAATCGAAAACCCAAGTCAAAAGGAGACATTGAAGCAATATAAAATCTCAACTTGCAATCTTCGAGTTGGAACTGGGGTGTGGGGTCTAACAAATTCTTTTAGGCCAAAGAGTTGAAAACTTGAAATTAGGGTTTGGATGTGGATTTTGGGCTTTCTACTAGATCTTAATAGGTGAAATTATGATCTAAAAGTGAAATTTTCAACAACTAACAGCACATGATTCATAAATGAAGCAAGCTAAGGATTTATCTTATGCAACTTTAATGGGGTAAGAAATTGGTAAAAGTCCTTTTCAAATTAATGCCGCACTTTTCAGCTATATGTGTCTAATTGACAAGGAATCAGACAAAGGAAAAATTGAGTGAAGACACTCTTAACACACAAGGTCAACTGCAATCAGACTCAACAAAAGAAGCAAGGATCCTGGCATAGGGCAGAAATCAAGGTATGTGCCAAAATATCAAAGGAAAACCAACCTGGAGTGCTTGGCAAACAATTTCTAGTTCTCTATCAAAATCAGTCTTTTCCTTTGTGGTGACAAGTTCCAGCACAGCACAGCATGGCATTTCGGAGTAAAGATCGAACACTGGAACTGCAATTGATCCACGAACCTCATGATTAACCGCATGCTCAATCCTCAAATATTCAGCTTTAGTGTAGTAACCAACATTGGACGTCCACTCAGGAGCTTTAGAGATAAAGACACGACCAGGAAGTCCTAAGACAGAGCCTGGCCTTCCTTCTGCTGAGAATGTAAATGTCCTTGACACTTCACGGTAACCTGCAAGCATTTGGTCCAGCAAATAGGGTTGCTCACTTGTGGTTAAGATGAATTGATCTCCATGCTTTGTTGGTACCCAAACTTGTGCCAAGATTCCCCCACCAGCGGATTCCTTGAAAAGGGACAAAGCCCTCAGCATTCTCTCCTCTAGTGACCAGCCAGGCGGCCTAGAAACTATACAATTGCCCATCACTAAGTTATTAAGTTCTTCAAAAGTTTCATTCAGATGATGTTTATTGTTTAAGTTCCCATCATCATTTCCATCATCAGAGAACTCAAGTCGGGCATCCATTTGCTGAAATGCAACTTTCTCTCCAGAGTTGGGAGAACTTCTTATCACATTGTAATTCTTATTAACGACGCTAGCCAAGAATGACCCACTGCTCTCCTCCATTAAATTGAATCCATCAAGTGATGCGTATGGTACCGAGGCATATGGTGAAAGCCCATCAGCTAAAACCTGATCTGTGGTTGATGAGCTATTGTACCAACCAGCATAAGTATCAAAATTTACAAGCTCAGAGAAGGTGCTAAGCGTATCCTCTGAAATTGAATTTTTTGTGCTACCATCTAATGATGCTGATCCCTCTACGTGGGCTCGAGAAGAATTCCAGTATCCACTGTCTTTTCCCTCATGAGAAGAAGCGTGTTCCATGATTAGGTTGACACTCAAGAATTGGAACTGAAATTTAGCCAATGCTAGAGATCGTTTAAATAAAAAGTTGCACAAGACATTCTTTCCCCGTTTACAAGCTTGCTAGAAGTTGTTCACAGATCTATCATCATCTCCGTCTACACAAACCAATAACCTTCATGGTCACACAAGTTCAGCATAAGCATAATCACAAATTTAACTTTTAAAAATAATAATGATAATAAAGCAGTACAAATCTACAATATCATTCCACCAACCCCGCCAAAGAAAAAGAAAAAGATGAAAGAGAATTGATTCCTTAACGGCATACACGAAAGATCAAAAGCAAGTACTGCAAGAAGTTTGAATGACACAAAAAGGGATCGACTATTATCAGGAACCCAGCACGGTACATCCCGATTTTGGAAAGGGGGGAAAAAATCCGAAGACCGACGACTAGAAAATCGACAATCTAATCACTGCAGCTACCAAATCCCAACGCTACAGACAAAAAAAAAATCTGCGAATTCCCAGAATATAAGAAGAACTTGAGGACAAATATGTTTAAAACAAGATAACAAGTGACGGGAGGAGAACTTAGTCCGGGAGAGTGAAAGTAGGGTTACAAGTTATAAATACCTGAGTAAGGGGTTGGAGCTTCACAGGAGCATCCGGTAAACACCGTAAGATTAAGAGGGGGGGGGGGGAAAACTATGGAGAATTAGTTAAAGGGGGAGTAGTGGATAGGGAAGGGGCGTCCCCCCAAAAGATGAGCGTTCTTTGTGGCGGAAGAGAAGGCTGAAATTGTAGAGAATGAGATTGAGAATCCCCAATTACACGAACCCTAGAGATAACAATGTGAGTATGCTGCTGATGACAGCTAACGAAGCACCGACTTCAAAAATCTGAAGGCATGACGAAATCTTTGTCTAGAAAAGTCACTAAAAATGGGGCAGCTTTGAAGTAAATGGAGCAAGGGATTGTGGTCATTACTCGCGCGCGCGCGCAGTGCTAATCAAAACATGCTCTGCCTCGTAAACAGAGGTCTGAGACTACAAACATAAGAAAAGCGGAGAAGTGAAAGCCCTTTTGTCTGAAAGCCTCCGACGGAATTACCACTGCTTTTGCATTTACTTGCTAAAAATAGAAAGACGGTGTTTCAGACTTCCAGCGCAAAACCACCCACGCACCCAATCAATCCTCGCCCCCACCCCCCATCTGGCTCTTTTCGATTCTTCCTCAGATTCCAACACAAAATAATGTCAACGGTGTTTTTTAAGGAGGGGGAAAAAAGATTCTTTTGTTTCGTGCAATTTGTGGTTCGCTGGTTCCAACTTGCCGTTTGTTTATACAAAGCGAATCCAAAATTTATCAATTTTCGATGTCAAAGTACCAAAGTGCCCTTGCTGACATGGATGGCCAGGAATTTATGCATTAATCTTCGGATATAGACGACGGCTGATGTCTAAGTGCGCGCGCCCGCTGTTCTCAACCTCAGTCATCCTCCCAACAGTCATTCACAGCTGCTTTTTAATATCTTATTTCACTCTATTATCCGGAAGCAAATGAAAACCATCTTTTACGAGAACACTGTTTTTCACTTGGCAATCATGTTATTTATAAAGCCCGCGCGAAGAATACCACTTGTAAATTGATCTGGTCATTCGGGAAAAAAAAAACAAAAGAATTTATCATTGGTAATAACGATGTGTGAGTGGGTGTATTATTAGTTTTTGCAAATAAATACAAGTAAATCAAGATAAATGGTTGTTTTAAATTTTAATTTGATGACATATTATTGTTGATTGTCTTGTATGCATGCATGCCTCGCTTTTACGATAACACACACACACACATATATATTGCTTTTTCAAAGCAGAGGCGTAGAGGAATGTCAAGTTGTAATAATTACTGCATATATATGATGTTATATACTCCTCCGGTCCTAATTATAAGACTCAATTGACTTATTTGAGGAGATTAAGGAAGTAAGTTAAGTTGGTTATTTATAATAAATAAGTGTTGTCATTCCTAAAATATCCTTGCTAATTAAGTATATTGGCTAAAACTATCATTATTAGAAGGATTATCTTGGAAAAAAATGCATAAATATAAGAGACAAAATGGATTGGGTCTTATAATTAGGACCAAATAAAAAGTCAAATTGGGTCTTATAATAAGGACCGGAGGAGTATATATATATGGTTGTCACTTTCTATTTTACGTGCTCTCTGCCTTCGTGATACGTAGAGTTTTTGTGCCCTGTCGCCCTTATAAGACTAGTGTAGCCTCCTTTCCAATTTAAAAAAATATATGGTGATTACTCTACCGTTGTCTCTTCTCAAGTTTTAATGCTAAACTTGCCTTTTTCTTTTTTAATAAAATGATGAAATCGGTGAGGAGGTATTAATTAAATTAATCGCACTTGCTTTATTTGCAATCCTGCGCTGTGAATTTTTTTTTGGCGGAACAAGTTGCCGGGTTTGTAATGAAAAGGTGGCAGGCAATGGCAAGCGTCGAATTCTGTCCGCCTCGTCGCTGAGAGTCAAAACGCATACGTGTGATGAAGATAAAAATAATTAAACACGTAAGTATATGTTCCTGTCTTGATGAGACATGCATTTGATGACCTTGAATATGCTCTGACGAAACAGAATGTTAAAAGGTCATTCATTTCATACATAAACAATTAGTCTGACACTTCACTTTTTGGGCCCATACCCTCTCCTTCTGCTCCACTTTATTTACTATCTCTAATCCTAATTATAAGATATCGTTTATAGTCATATCCTTCTTCTCCACTTTATATACTACGAGGTCTTATAATTAGAACAGAAGATAGTATGTCATTTGCTTGTAACTGCTGCTAAAAAGCCACATGGTTTCTAGAAGCCATGAATCCTATGACCAGTCGCGTTTCATGATTCTTCGCAATAATGCATGGGTCTTAAAATATGTTGTTCCTAGAAAAATTAATGAGCTTCTAATGAATTGTATTGTTTTCTTACCCTATTGAAACAAAACTTGTCAGAACACAGAAATATTTATATGATGGGGTGTTGATACAGATTTAGTTTAAGTGCTCATCCAATTTTAATTTGGATGATTTTATAATGCATTTTTCGTGTTTGAATTTGGATTTTATTTTTTAAAAAAACATTTCTATCATTTATAGAAAAAAAGGACAATCCAATTCCAACTCTCACCAGAAGAAATATAATAGTTTTGAATTACCATAACCACCATCGAGAACCATGTCCGTATTACTACTAATATAAAGAAAAATCTCTCAAAGAAAACAAACCTATTACCCATAATTATTATCGTAATCAGATCGCATGTTCACGAAGAGGCCGGCCAATCAGTCTGCTTTGTCACAGTGAATCATGATTTTTATTTTGATAGCCTCGATACAAATAAGTTTTTCCGCCAGGTTCTTGCTTGTACGACTTTTTAATGCATATAATAACCCTTAGATTTGTTTTGGCCAACGAAGGGGGAAAAAAACTTCTGAGTCTAAAAAGTTCACATTATTCATGATTTATAGGTAATATATAAATGAGTTACCACAATTAGTAGGTTGCGGTGAAAAGCGATGATTGATTATGCAGGATATAAATAAAGAATAAAAAAAAATTATGGAGATCTAGGCACGGCTTTTTTTAATTTTATCGAGGACCAGTGAATATAGATATAACTCACGGTGTGGTGCGACAAACTAGAGGGCAGATTATTTCAAAAGGAATAAAATACTGCCATGAGTATACATCTATATTTTAAATTAGCCAACTTGATCTTATATCAAGTACGAGAGTAGTATATGAAATAAAAAACACCAGTATAAATGTAGTTAGGGTCGACCATCAAGAATTCGACATATCCAATGAAAGAAAAGAGTTGGAGTTGATGCCGGCAGTGAGACAAAACGGTTCGTTTACGGCGCTGAAAGTGAAAGTGAGTTTCCACGGATGAGCTGCCGGCGGGTGAGCGTGGATACGTGCATGTAAATGCAATTATAAACTATTTCAAAGTATCATCGCGACAAAACCTTGTTGACTGGTCTATGTGGGTTCACATTTTCTTAACTGGCCCGTACGATGCTCAAAGAGATTCATATTGTCATGTTACTGTAAATTACGAACCACATAATCTCTTCCTCCTAAGCAGTGAGTTCATGCAAGTTAAACCAATGACATTCCCGTCTTCGAAATTACAACCAAGGCTGGCTATAATCCAATCCTTCGATCTGTACTTCAAACTCTTGACAAAACAGCATATGGCTAATAATTGTGAGTTAAAAATTGATTTTGACGGATATATAATCCAACTTGAGACAATAATTGACCTTGAGACTTGTTTATGCTAATGACAAATGAAAGAACAATTACGAAATGGCAATATGCTCTTACCAAAATTATTCATGCCCATCATGTGGATCAGTATCCTTTAATTTGGTATTGGTCCATTCAACACATGATCACTTCAGGACTGCTTTTGCTAGCTAGGACAGGCGATGATATGCAAGGTTTCATTAGATGGTCTAGATACTTGCCCAATTTTTAGTGCCCCTCCCTTCAAATTTAGTTTGTGTCGGAGTTAGCAATTATGTGAATATGATTATGATTTATACTTGTATAAATACAATACCTGGATTAAAATATATTTAGAGTAAGTACGGCCTCCATATCTCTCTCTTCTGCTTTAAAAAATGCATATAGCTCAATTAAATTCATTTAGTTGATAAAACAAGGGAAAGTTTGTTGTGTATTTCACCTAAAAACTCCCAACATATATATTTAACCCCAAACCCTCTTAAAACTGCAGAGACAAATGAACTTATCCATGCAATAATGCGTAATTATAGCTGAAGAAAAAGGGGAAAAATGACAGCCAGGTCTAAATAATAGCTTCACTAATGATATTAATGGCATTGTGATCTGTGAGTAAGATATCAGAGATGGTGTGAACTGTGGAGTTTGGGAGTTCTCCTCAGCTTGATTTTGGTTGGGGCACTATGACCACCACTCCATCTTGACCTAAATTGAAAATTGATATAATTGTAGTACTGGGACAAAGTTGTTAACTTTCTTCTTAATTATAATAATCTTAATTTTCAATGTAAATTCTATAGCTCTGGAGATCTAATCTCTTTAGCCGGCCAATTTGTGTGTATCATAACCCATCATAACTGCACTGTTTTTGTTTTGGAGGGTAACATCACAACAAAAACCTCGCAGGCGAAACAAATACACAAACATGTTGATGGTAGCTTGAAATGGATCCGGCTCTAAGCCTACGTGAAATCATCAAATACACAGTAACGTAAAATTCGAACTAGTTTAATTTGTACATGTGGCAAAGCTAGAAGACCTGTTCTCGAGTGCATGTCTAAGTCTAACTATGGGATTTTAACTAATATACGGTAATGCAACACTCTCTCCGTTTAAAATGTAAACTAAACTTTGCCAGAAATGTTTGATTTTTTTTATAAAATAATATTTATTTTTGTCTAGATGTTTGATTTTTTTTAATTTTACATCTTTTATAAGATAACATTCACTTTTTTTCAATATACATTTGTTCCTCTTTTCATTTATTTATTGTGTCTTTACTTATTCTTTTCATTAATAAATACATATTTGAGAAAAAAATACATGCCTTGTATTTTTTTTTTTGGCCAGCACATGCCTTATATATTTATTATTTAAACTGAATTTAACTAATTTTTTGATAAAAAAAAAATTTATCTTATAATTTGAACCGGAGGAAGTATTATGGGGCAGGATGAACATTTCCCTCAAAGCCATTTTTATTCTTCTTTTTAAATATATTAAATAAAAAAGAAACGGTCTCCTGTTCTGGGTGCAAATGGCGACGGAGGCACGGAGGAGCTCCTCCCCAACCCGTCTGTCTCCCATTTTCAAAGATCTTACGTCATCCATCGCACTATCGAGGCATTGCAACCCTCCATTTCTTTCTCCTCTCTTGCGTGCTTTGATATTTCCTCGACTAAACTGCCATGTCAATATGTTCGCATGTGTTTGAATGCTTGCAGTTATGTCAATGCTCATTGACGATCGTTTGATTATCGTTTCATTTCCGCTGTTTCCATTTAGATTAGGAGTTAGGAATTCATACCTCCAATGTCCTGCATTTTTTGCCATTGTTTTGTTAACCTAAGAAATTCCGTGCATATTCGCATTCTGCGTTCTGTGCGTTTCCGGA